ACGAAACAGTTTGTCACAGCCCCTCGTTTGTTGTCCTCTTCTCCCTCTCTGCCTACGGTTTACCGGGCAGTTCTGTTTGACGATATATATATAATATTTATGTTTTATGTTTATTTATATATATTTTTTGCCCGGCCGGGCAAGTGGTCCCGGACCACTCTGGTAGCCTAGACAGATACTACATTTGGTCTTAGCCAAAAGGAGGTCGTCATCATTTAGGGAAAAAAAAAAGAAAAAAAAAACCCAACAGGGATGGGTCATGCACGTACAGAGAGGGTTATGTGTTTCACAAGTCATCAGGAAACCGTCATGGACACAAAAACTCATACCGCACTCAGAGAGACAGTCTAATGTGAGAGTTAACCAGTTGACAGGAGCCAACAATCAGGGCAGATTCACACTTGCACTTTCCTGAATGTATTTGACTGCAATTACGGCCAGACCTGGATGCATTTGACCGCAATCGCGTCCAGAGCTGAGTCGAAAAAGTCCTACGTTAGTGGGAGTATGCTCTCAGAGGAAACTAGCTCCGAGTCAGTTCTGCACGGCCACAGTCACAGAGTGTCCCAATACAGATGCTGTACAGATGCTGTCGGACAATGCGAAGTGCAGAAACCGACCGCCCTGGTCTCTGGGTGCTTTGCACAGATATCACCTCCCTCCTCCTCCCCTCCCTATTGATAATTTCCTCCCACGACCGAAGACCGGCCACCTATTCTCTGTGTGTGTGTGTGTGTGTGTGTGTGTGATGTGGGCGTGCTAATGCTGTGTGACTCGGGTTGTCGGTGTGTATGTATTTGTATGTGGGTGATGCAAATTATTATGGGTTGTGGGCACGCCAATTCCCCAATGGCTCCAGGGAAAAACCATGCAGACACGATTTTCATCAAGCTAAAAAAAAGAGCGCACAGCGCCACATGCCCAGGTTGTACTATGTGAGGTTTGTGGTAGTACTGCATGTGGCCTGGGGTACACTGTGGGTTGGGTGGTACTCCATGATGACCAGGTGGTCTGGCTGCGGGGTACTTCATGGGGTGGGTCACGCTTTGTGGACTGGATGGTATGGTACTGCGCGCCATGTACGGCAAAAGTGCTACGTGGGGTACTATGTGGGGTGACATCATTTGTGCCGTACAGGGCACGCAGTGGATGATGCTACGTGGGGTCCCATGTGGGGTGCCATCACCCTCCCACCGACGGTGCAAATTCTGTCCTAAGGGCACATCGTAAGGGCACAAATGCGGGGTAATAGTATGTCGACTGGATGGTACTATGTGGGATGCCTTACGACAGAATTTGTGGCGTAGGTGGGTGGGTGGGTGGGTGATGGCACGACACATAGTACCCCACGTACCCCGCATTGTATCACCAATTTGTGCCGTAGGTGGGTGGGTGGGTGACGGTACGCGAGATTGGTGATACAATGTGGGGTACGTGGATGTTCGGATTTTTTTTTCGTGTTGTTGTTGTGGGGGTGTTCAAATTAAAATGATGTCCAGGCAAGAAAAGAAAAGGAAAGCGAAGAGAACAGAAAAGCAAAGCAAAGCAAAAAAAAGGAARAGCGAAAAGGCGTACACACACACACACACGGAGGGAGAGAGAGAGAGAGAGAGAGAGAGAGAGAGAGAGAGAGAGAGAGAGAGAGAGAGAGAGAGAGAGTCGAGGCAAGAAAAGAAAAGGAAAGCGAAGAGAACAGAAAAGAAAAGCAAAGCAAAGAAAAGGAAAAGCGAAAAGGCCTACACACACACACACAGAGGGGGAGAGAGAGAGAGAGAGAGAGAGAGAGAGAGAGAGAGAGAGAGATGAAACGTGGCGTGTGTTTGTGCACATAACAGATTTCCAAGCTGACAACCACACGGACGTTGCTGCAGCGCACAGCCAGGGAGAGAACTCAAATGAATGAGAAAAGAGCTGCAAATCAGAGAAGCAGAGAGAGAGTCAAACAGTCTCAGAAAGCGAGTCCTTACAAGCTGTCCATCTGAAATTTGCAAGCACAACACTCGAAGATGTCCATCTGAATTTCCCAAGCACAACACTCGAAGCGGTCCAACTGAATTTTCGCGAGCACAACAGCTGCAGCCGGACAACTGAATTGCCCGAATGCAATGCGGCTGCAGCGAGAGCAGCATGGCCAGTCGGCCATAGCCATATTACCTCGAAGTACAGAAACTTGGGGCCTCGACTGCACTACTCGTCAGATGTGAAAAAGACAAAACAAAACAAATGCGAGCGAGATGTGAAAAAGACAAAAGAAAGCAATTGCGAGCTAGATGTGAAAAAGACAAAACACTAACAATTGCGATTTTGCGAGTGAATTTGTCCACCTTCGAGATAAAGGATATATCCTCGCCATGCACAATGCCTAGTACTCGCTCAAAGCCAAAGCCAAGTCGGGCCCTTATCGGTGTACTTGGTAGGGGACTGTACTGTACTGCTTCGGGCCTGAGTTCGGGCGTGTCCTGTAGTCGCCACTATGAAAAGGACACGGCCGAACTCAGGACACGACCGAACTCAGGCCCGAAGCGGTACTTTTCAAACGTTGCAGGCTCGCAAGCCTTGAAAAGTACCTGCGTACAAACGAATAGGCACAGCTGAGTTGGTGATACACATGATCCCGTCGCGTTTTGCGAGGTCATCAGGCTGGGCTCGTCAGCTGTCCTTCTTTTCGATGTTTTCGTCTCGACTGGGGTCTTGGTGAAAATGTTGCCTTGGAAACAGAAAAAGAGAATGTTGAAGGTGGGGGGTTTCGTGTTCTCATTTCCTGTGTTATACCTAGGTGGAGAGATCCTCCCCACTTTCCTGCCCCCTTTTTCCCACTTTCTTGCCCTCCTCCCCAACACCCGCCTCGTCCTTGAAGGTAAAAAAATTAAAAGTTCTAGTCGGCCCTAAGACCAGGGGAGTCCCATCCAATCTTATCCCATCGTATCCAGTTCTTAAAACTCCTTATCCTTTTCTTATCGAATCTTATCCTGTTCTTATTGAATCTTATCCAGTTATTATTGAATCGTATCCAGTTATTAACTTATTATCGCATCTTATTCAACCTTTTGATTGGCAAATTGCATTTTTGAAATAATCTATTGAGAAACGACACCAACACCAACACCAACACCAACACCAACACCAATGACAACAACAACACCAATGACAGTGACAATGACAACGAGCATGACACAAGCAACAATGACACCAACAACAATGACAAACGACAACAACAGCAACAACAACAACAACAACAACAACAACAACAACAAGGACAACACCAACGACAAGAAGAAGAAGAAGAAGAAGAAGAAGAAGAAGAAGAACGGAGAACCATTCTCGGAAACAAGGAACAAAAAGAAACAAGCAAATACAAATGCCTAGCTCAGTTGGTACACTGATGAACTGTTGAAATACAGATCCAAGTTAGAATACAGATGCAAAAAAGAAAAAAAGAAAAAAGAAAGAAAGAAAGAAAGAAAGAAAGAAGAAAGAAAGAAAGAAAGAAAGAAAGAAAGAAAAAGATGGAAGCAAAAGAGAAACATGTTATTAGAAACGACACCACCACCACCAGGAACGACAGGCGACACCGACAACAACAACCAACAACATCAAACAACAACACCAACGAAGTGTCTGGAAGCATTGGCATTTTGCACTCTTCCGCACTCATCTTATAACGTGGAAGTCTGAATCAAATTATTTTGTCTATTGACATTGACAGAGATAAGATGCTTCTATGGACATAGAGAATTAGAAATATGCTTCGAACTGAATACATACATGTGCTGGCCAAGGTTGGTCATCGCATTGCATGCTTTGGGTTGGGTGTGTTCCTGTCGAAACTGCAGCAAGTGCGTGGTGATGACCTGCATGTGCACATGTCTATCTGTCATCGGTTGGAGTATTTATAGCTGATCTGGATGGATGAGCTTATTTGTATCGGCTCATTGATTGAAATAATGTTATGAACAGGTTCAACGTATCTCTTCAAAACTGCACGATTGGCGATAAATGCATGATACACAATGGAGTCTGTGTCGGACAAGATGGTAAGCACAAGATGAGCCATCTGCCTGTTTCAACTCTCTCTCTCTCTCTCTCTCTCTCTCTCTCTCTCTCTCTCTCTCTCTCTCTCTCTCTCTCTCTCTCTCTCTCTGCGTTATCATCACCATCATTGTCTTCTTCTTCTTCAGGTACGAGCCGTATGAATGATGTGTGCAAGAAAGACAAAGAGTCAGACACATCATTCTCATCACAACAGATAGAACCAGAAGGTTTCTCACCTACCATCTTCCCCCGAATAGACCATATGGTCAATATAGCGGTATGTGTGGCAACTATCAGTCCAGATACGTACAGCGATAGTGACCGTCCGTACATCCATTTTGGGGGGAAGACGGTAGGTAGTGCTTTTCACCCTTCTACGCTTGGTTTCTGTCGTTGTCTTTCAAGCTCCGGTGGCATCCTCAGAACTACCATCTTCACACCAATAGGATGCCCCGTCATTCCCGCTGCATCTGGACTGAAAGTTGCTTCAAATGCAGCTATAATGACCGGGCATTCTATTCGGGTGGGCGGTTGCATGTGCCGTCGTTTACGTCCAGAAACTGTCCAAAATGTCCAACTGTGAGTATGCCCGCGTTCAATGATGTTTCTCGCCCTTCTTGCCCTCAGTCAACCAAGTATCTCTGTGTCCCAGAAGGGCTTCCGGTTTGAATGCCCGATGTTGAACCGAGCAAACTTTCGCGCAACTGCCTTGAAAAAATTTCTGAGTGGAAGATTTTTTTTTTTTTTTTTTTCTGTACCATCTCCTTTGATACCACGCCAGGAAGTATAAAACCTTGGCCCTCGCTTCACGATTCACCAAATGTGGAAATTGAGAACGAATCTTGCGCAAGAACGTAGGAAAGACACGCCGCAGTATGTTCTGTCTCTGGTGCATGTGGTGAGTAGTGGAGCGAGTCCCCCCTTGTCTCTGAATTCCGTTGCTGGTTCCGTTTTCTGTTCTTTTGTTCTCTCTCTCTCTCTCTCTCTCTCTCTCTCTTTGTTTTTCTTTTCTCTCTTTTCATGCATCGCTTGGTGCTGTGTTTTTGTGTGTGTGAACTGTGTAGTAATGGACGACAGTTCTGATGTGGTGGAGATTATGTTCTGTGATGGGTATGGTGGTTGCGAACGGTGTGATTATGATGTGTAGGTTTTGGCTTCTTCGTGGAGGAGGGCAGGATGATCAAGAAACCTCAGGCATGTGAGCATCGTGATGATTGCTGTTGTCTTCGTCTGTGAGTGAGACTAGAGGCTGTGGTAATTGCAGTTCTCCCTTGCTCTATTTTGAGAATTGGCATTCGTACACAGGTTCACACTCCTGCCGATTCCCACCTTTGCTTTGTTAAACGGGGAAGGAAGCTCGTCTTCCCTAACTCAGACCAGAGAGGGAAGAAATAAGGCATACTTCCCAGTTTCTGTTCCGTAGTGAAATGCGGCGAACGCCCCATTTTTCCATTTGCCGGTTTTGTTGCCATTGCACCAACAGTGTCTCTCTCTCTCTCTCTCTCTCTCTCTCTCTCTCTCTCTCTCTCTCTCTCTCTCTCTCTCTCTCTCTCTCTAATCTATCTATCTATCTATCTATCTATCTATCTATCTATCTATCTATCTATCTATCTCAATCTCTATCTCTATCTGGCTAACTATCTATCTATCTCCCTCCCTCTATCACTCTCTCACTCTCTCTCCGTCTTCCTCTATCTCGCTTTCTACATCCGAGTATCTATCTTTCTATCTATTTCTCTCTCTCTCTCTCTCTCTCTCTCTCTCTCTCTCTTTTTGTATGAGCCTATCTATNCTCTCTCTCTCTCTCTCTCTCTCTCTCTCTCTCTCTCTCTCTCTCTCTCTCTCTCTCTCTCTCTCTCTCTCTCTCTCTCTCTCTCGCTCTACTTTGTGTTTGCAATCGAATGAGATTGAACTGGCACCGCTGCCACTGTGTGGCCTTGAACATGTAACAGTTGTACAAAACCCGACCGCCTCGGTATTTGTTACCGTGAGAACCAAGCCTACTCTCCCTACTCTCCCAACTCTCCCTTGGCTCTCCTTATCCTCTTCTTATCCCTAAGCTCTCCTTATCCCCTCCTTAAGCTCTCCCTGCAATCTGCCTACAAGTTTGATTCTCAGGAAAGTACTTATGTCTGATTCTCTGTTGACCCCAGATAGGGTGCCTATGAGGGACCCTGTGGCTTGATGGTTGGATGGTTTAGAATGCAGTCATCTCTTGGTGTAGAATGCTTTGGAATTGCATTCTGTTCAATCGAATGCACCCCATGTGTTGACCCTACACTGCTCAATGTACTGCACCTCGCATCCTTTTTGCTCTAGTTTTTGTTGTGAACTTTTGTGTGAAAATTTCATGTGAACTTTCATTTCCTTCCTCTCATTTTTCATTCTGCTTTATTGAGTTATAGGCAACTAGATGCTCTTTTCCTTCTTTCAAAAAGAAAACGAAAGAAGATTTTCTCTCCTTTTCTTTCTTAGACTGAATGTATGTCATATGTAATCCGAATCACACATGCTCATCACTCTGGACCTACTTAGGGGAGAGAGAGAGAGAGAGAGAGAGAGAGAGAGAGAGAGAGAGAGAGAGAGAGAGAGAGAGAGAGAGAAATTCTCTCCCTTCACCATCCTCGCTGCCACCCCTGCTCTCTCTTGCCTTCCCCCCCCCCTTTCTCTCCTCCCTCCCCTCTTCCAATCCCTTTTCTTTCCCCTGCTCCTCCCTCTCCTCCTCCCTTCCTTTCTCCTCCCTTCTCCCTCCCTCCTCCCTCCCTTCTCCCTCCCTGTCCTCCACCCTTCCCCCGTTTCGAAGCATGTGATGGCAACCTTACGGATCGAAGAGCAGACGCTTTGCATCTGAATCGCATGAAAGCGCTTTTGCGCGTCCGTTATGCAAAAGGTACGTGGTCAACCTTTGGAAACAGATCCATCATCTTTTTGATTGATAATAATGCATCTTTCAGCCTTGGACTGATTGCTTGCGTCGGTTTTGAGATTTCCTATTTCATGCCCTTTTCTTCTGACGCGGGAAGCAACATTGTGGCTTGCTGCCACCAAAGGATGGCGTGGAACCTTATTAATTTTTTTAATGAACTACTCTCTTGTATGGATTGTTCTGGTGTACTTCCGTTTTGCTGGCATTGTTTCATCCCCTTGTTTACCTTGCTGTCCCCTGAGCCTTTTGATCGGCAGTTGCGCCCCCCTGGGAGTTTATCTAGGAGGTTTTCAGCTCGAAATAGCTCTTTTTTTTTTTTTTTTTTCAATTGACTCAGCCTCACCTCTCTGTCTCCCTTTTGACATGCTTTATGCCTGTCTTCATGCACGGAGAGGGACTGGCTCAGTTCCCCCGTCTCCTTTACCTCTCAGTATTTCCTGTCTGTCCCTGTCCGGCAATGTAAAGTGGTCTTTATCTAGGAGGATTTCAGCTCGAAATTGCTCTCACCAATTGACCCAGCCTCGCTTGTCGGTCTCCCTTTCAACATGCTTAATCCGTCTCTCGATGCGAAGGAGAGGGACTACCTCGGTCGACCCGTCTCCTTTACCTCCCAGTATTTCCTGTCTGGTCCCTGTCCGGCAATGGAGAGTGGGGCCCCTGTCCGGCAATGGAGAGTGGTCTTGATGAACAGAAAGCAGTGGAGGCACAGCTTCAGTTGGCGAGCTCCTCCTTCCTGTTCTTTTTTCCTTTCTTGGAAAGACCAAGGCCTTGTGGACTTGGCCTCTTTCTGTTCTGGGAGGCGATACTTCAGCTCTCCTTTCTACTGGCAAACCAGAAAATAAAAATAAAAAACAGTTAAGCTAACTTGTGAGCTGACAGGAAAAAAAAGACAGGAAAAAAGAAAAAAGAAAAAAAAAAGACTTGTGACTCGTTGCAGCTGACATATTTATCCTGACATGCACGATTTCTTGCTCTGTACTTTTCAGAATCTGAGGGTTATTATCGGTAATGAAGTCGAGATTGGAGCGAACACCTGCATAGATAGAGGAAGGTAAAAAAAAAAAAAAGCTTGTTTTTGCCTCTATTGCTTTTTTGTTTTTTGTGAGTTCATTATCATTGAAACGGTATTCACCTGTTAGCAGTAGCGAGTGCAGATCCCAGGGCTCGATCCCTACAGTCTGCCCCTGAATACAACGTACGGTCATTGTAGCTGAATTCGGGCTATATTTCAGTCTAAATTCAACTATAATGACAGTACGTTGTATTCGGGGGAAGACGTTATCCTACGGTCCCTACCTGTGTACACTACCTGTGTCGACCCGGAGAGTTGAACCCGTGACCTGTGTATTCGTAACAGTTGGTAGACTGTCGTAGGGTCCGTAGGTTGTAGGGGTTCGATCTGTAGACCTGTCGAATAGAGGTCTTAGTGAATTCTAGAAGTCGTAGCTGTAGGATTCCTGAAAGGTCAAGGTCGTAGCTGCTACAGTCCTGAAGGGTCAAGATCGTAGCTGCTACAGTGTCGAAGGGCCAAGTCCACAGACTTCCGGAAGGTCCGGAAGTGGCCCTTCACACATTGCTCACAGTAGGCCAGAAGCAAGTGGGCAAGTGGTGGAGTCCACCTGTGCTGAGTCAGCGGTACCCAGTCCCAGCCAGTCCTAGTCCAGTCAAGCAAGTACCGTATGGGACTGTGTGCACCACGGGCATGGGAAAGGGGCAGACCAACGAGTGACAGAAGTATAAATCAACAGGCAGCGCCCAGCCATTCAAGCGCTGCCACAGCGACTTGTGCGAGGTGGTCTGCAGTATGCCCGAAGACGAAGTGGGCCGAAGGAGAGCTTAGCCATAGCGGTACAGGTAGTAGCGGCCATAGCCGCCATAGCTGGGAGAAGGGTGTAGCGTGTGTGTGTGTGTGTACAGTGAGTTGCGTGTGGGATATCCAGGGTGATCCTGTGTGTGAACAGCAGAGTTGGGCTAGTGACGAACAGAGAGTTGTACAGGCGCTGATGCGCCATAGCCATCTGAAGTGAGCTTGTATCTGAACTGTGTTCTTGGTTACCATATCTCTAAGTTCTGAGTGGGCGCTTGTCGCCAGTTTGCTGCGCTACCAGTTTACATGCATGTGAGGTGTGAAAGAAAGCGAGTCTGATTGCATCATCACCATGCATACTCTCCTGCAATTTTCGAAAAGGCTGACGGCATACTCACACTACTGTCCTCACTCGAATAGAATGCCCGGTAATTATCGCCGTATCTGGGCTGAAAGCCAAATACAGCTATAATGACCGGGTGACAGCGGGTCTGATTGCATCATCTATTCGGGTGAAGACGGTAGGACTTTGTCTACAAAGCTCTGGACGTGATTGCAGTGAGATTCGTTCATCCAGGTTTGGCTGTAATTGCAGTCTTGTACATTTAGGAACGCGATGGTTCGAGTATGCCCGTACTGTCACCATCCTTACTCTTCTGTAAGATGTAGTTGCTTGCTTTTGTTTTGAAACTCAGACTACGTTTGTCCTTACGCTGGGTTGTGATAGTGTTCTCTCACTCCCATCTTTTTTCTCTTTTTCTCCCCATTTGAATAATTTCGATCATTATGTTTGCTGGAAATTGCCAATTGTTTGCAAAACCTTGCTCTTGGCTTTGCTCTCGCTTTTCTTTGGGGAGGGGAGTTTGGGGGGGAGGGGGGAGGTATTCGAGTTGTGTTTGGTGAGCCTTCGGTCTAATCTTTTGTCCTGTCTTGGCCTTCTTTCTGGAAACAATCGTGCACTCTTCAATCCGTCTTCGCTTTGATTATTACTCATGAAGAGAGTATTGGTAGGATATCAATTTTACCCGTAAAACTCCTCGGCGAGTCCACGAGGAATGGAATGCCATTGTCGATCCTCTTCGGAGTAAGGGGTATGTTTGTGGGGGTGAAGGGGCCCTACCTACCTTGTTACAGCATATGCTTCCATGAATTTGCTAAAATAGGAAAGAAGAGGTTTGCACATACAGCAGCCGTTGCTCACACACCACAGAGCTCTTTGCGGATGGATGATTGGAGGTGGTTGGTTTGATGAGAGGTCTTCCGGTTGGCGCACACCTATGCGCGGGCCCCAACGACATTGCCCATCGAGCGAGGGAAGAGGATCGTTGGCCTCTGTTTCAGTGCATGATGGGCATTGGTGGAATGCTGTGCTCTGGTGGGGCAACGATGAAGTACCTCACAATGTCTCTGTGGATTTTGTCGCCGTGACATTTTTCTGCAGTTGGCGAGATACCGTGATTGGAGATTACACGAAGATCGACAACCTTGTTCAGGTGGGTAGGCAAAGCGGACGTGGTCGCCTCTTTTTTTTTTTTTTTGTGTGTGTGTGTTTCTGTAAACAAGTACGATGGAAACTCTTTTCTTTTTGTCACTTGCGTATTATCCGCTTGTTATGTGAGCATCACATCTGGAGCGGCGCGACAGTGCTTACCAAGGAAAAAAATTTTGGGTCCGCATTCAACTTTTGCTTTTGTTCGGTGTGCTGGCACAAAGTGTGGCGTCAGATTTTTCATGGTTTATGACACTCGTTTTGGATCCTCTTTTGGTTTTCCTTTTTTGGGTGGGTAAAAAAAAAAAAAAAAAAAAAAAAAAAAAAAAAAAAAAA